CGTAAAAGCCCCCCCCCCCCCCCCCCCCCACACACACACACAAAAACCACAAAATTGTCATGTTGAAAGAGTTTTAGGAATCTACATTGGATGAACTACATGAATTCAACAGTAATATATGGTCTGCACCTTAGAAAGTGAAAACAAAGTATTCATTTCTTGAAATATTAAATAACCACATTCGTTTATTAGGCTGAGGGAGAAGATAGTTTGAAAAAATAAACAGTTCAAAAGATTAAAAGACTGACGTATGTGCCCATGCCTTTTTAGACATTGGACAAAATCAAGAAAAAATACCTACGTGTACAACTGTATATTCTGCCAGTATAAGCTGTCATTGTTTTTCTTCATCAAGAACTCGGTATAAATTCCAGCTAATGCTGAGAGACAAGCAGATAGGATTCCTAACATGTAGCCCTGAATTGGTGCTGAGAAAAGGGAATCACAGGAAGCCTCTCCACAGCCCCTAACCTAAAACAAAAAACAGAAGTGACTCCATCTAAATAACATTTTTATCATAGGGCTAATTTTCCTAATATACAGACCAGTGATCATAAAAAAAATATACAAACAGAACAGAACAAAGATGTATTTGGTCTTCAATTTCATATAATTTTATATGCTAGTTCATTACATCACTTATGCCTTGTACTCATGGTTATATCAAGGGAATTTCTGCTACTAACATGCAATGAGGACAAATCTGTTGAATTTAAGATTTGCAAACCACTTTGTCTCGCTGTTTTCTTCTCTCTTATTTAAGGAAGATTGCTTATCCTACCCAACAGCTACTTCTTCTCATGACCAAAGGACCATTCAGTTTAATCTCCATCAAAAGCATACATGTTCCATCTCTATTAATAGAAACTTTCTGATACTGTGTACAAATGTCAGCAGAAGAAGCCAAAGAGTCGATTGAATTTATTTGAAACCCTCTTCAAAAATTAAACTACAAAGAAATCATTCCGCTGTATGAAAATGAATCTATAAGATTTGAGTATCACATCAGTAAACGACATGTAAAATTTATCCAGACCTATTGCATCATAGGTACATGCCCGTACATAAGTTAGAACTAGATGTTCACCTAAGTCCATAACACTGATTTTTCAGTTCATAATACACAGCAAATGATGCATAAAGCATATATATCTTCTTAAAAAAACAAATTTAAAGCCACGAAATCAAACCTGACTTGTGGTTGTCCCAACAGCCAACATCACAATAGCCATCCACTGCAAGTTAGAAAGCCTCCTCCCCAAGAACAGCCTGCAAAGGAAAAGCTGTGAGATAACATCTCTAATTAAGGAAACAAAACACTGATTGATATGAATTGCGAAAAGAGAAGGTACCTGAATAGTATTCCAGTGGTGACAATCTTCAAATTCCCCATTATCTGATAGGTGGAAGTGTCCACATAAGTGAGTGTAGCAAACTGAACATTGTTGTGGATCAGATATATAATCGAAGGAATGGGGAACAGAGCCACCGTTTTCCACTCCGTCGTCATCTTCGGCGGCGGTGACTTTTGGCATTCCTTCCACAGCAACAAACTCGACACGGCAAGCTAAGATGAAACCACCAAACAGTGTTATTCAACATCGTATCGAATAAAATTGATGCAGTGAGTGCTTATTGTTTTACCTTGAAAACCTCGGCGAGAAATGGAACAGTGGCGTAATCATACTTGTACTCTCCGTTGCTTTGCGAGAGGGTTGTTAAAATTCCCTGTGACGTCGAAATCAAATTAACATGGACTAAGTAAAGTATGTGCGAAAATGTGTGAAATTAGGGTTAAAATGGGGAATGGGAGAGTGACCTGAGAACTGGTGAGAACGGTGAGGAGCGCAGCTACCAAGTACCACTGCATCTTCTTCCACTTCTGCAGATCCGCACACAGAGAAACACGCGCTTAAACGCACCGTTTTGGTGCCAACTTCCTTGTGCTAAACTAGAGGCTTTGGCGCGTGTCCTCGTTATTTAAGACCACAAAATTATTAATGAAGAAAGATTAATGCTATGTTTTTCAAATTTATTACTCATAATAAATACATGAAAAGCTGATAAATAAATTCAAAGAAGTAGTAATTTTACAAAAATTAATTTTATAATTAATCCTGTTTATTAGAAAGAATGTAATACAAAAATCACTTTTTACATAATATTATATTAAAAGTTAATATAACACTTATTATTTGAAAATCACTTTAAAATTAAATTACTTTCAGTTACTTAAAAAATACTCCTTCTCGATTTAAATATTAGAGAGAAAAAATTAAATTCACATAAAATAAATATTATATTCTTAAAATGTCTTTAGTCATATTTATTATAGATAATATTTTTGTTCATTATTTTAAAATATTTTTAGATTAATAAATTTAAATAAAAAGTTGTCAATATATCTACCCAAATATTTTATCAATAAATTGTGGGAAAAAAATACTTCGATCAAATAAGACAACCCACTAAAAGTGGGGAATAATTTCCTAATATCGAATATAATCAATTTTTTTAAAAAAATAACAACAACGCAAAATTCACGGTGATAATACTCAATTTTTATATTTTAAAATAATCATATATAAAAAAACTCATATCTAAATATAAACATAAAAGCTTTACCAAAAAAAAGACACTTTACCAAAAAAATATATAAACATAAAAAAAATATACAATTACAAATGCATCTCATTTTAAAATCATAGTTATTTTTAGACTTTAATAGTTTAATGAATATGTATATAAAAAATAATTAGATTGTGAACCAATTAAAAACTATATATATGATTTATTTGCATTTGAATGATAATATAAAAAAATTATATTTTTTTTATATAAATCATATATAACTTCCACTAAATAATAATTTTTTAAAAGTTTAAACAAAAGAACCTTATATTTTTTTTTTTATAATAATATAATTAATATAAAATATTTACTAATCTTATCGATGAGTATAAAGAAATTAGATGACCATTTTTAATGAAATATTTTTTCTTAATCAATTTTTTTTCATCTATATGACTTACACTTGAGAATTTGTTTAACGAAACTTAATTCAATTCTTTCTACTTAGAACAATAACCTGTTAAAATATATTTAGTTTTCTTACAAGAATTATATATAGTTATAAACTGTATATATTCTAAAATGATGAATTGCTATAAATTAATATGCTTATCTTACTTCAGGGTTGACTATATATTGAAAGAAAGAAAAGCAATCGTTGTGGCTAAAGTGGCGGCAAGCCTCAAAGCAACAAAGACTAAATCTAGCTCCAGAATCTATCACCATACATTGTATGAACCAATCAACAATAATCATTTAATAACCTCACATTTTGAAATAGAAAAATAAAATTGGAAACACAGAATTAATTGAGGACAAAATGTATCCAAACTTAAGCTCAGCTCAAATTAGGCCAATAGCTTTCTGATCTATTTATATTGAAGAAAATAAGTTTCAATCATGCATGTAAGCACACGTTAATAACAAATGCAGAAAGTTTGAAATCTTGGTTTGATTTGAAGACCCAAATATTTAAGAGAGAAAATGGCAGAAGCAGGGAAAGAAAGAGAGGGTGAGATAGATATGATGGAAGAGTGTGAAGAGGAAGAAAATAACGGTGAATTGGGTTATTCACATCTGCCAAACACATCTCTAGCAGAGCTAAACATGTTGCTTGTGTTGCTTTCGTTATTCTACTTTTCAAGCGATGAATGCATGGAGGAATATGAGGAGAACCATCATGTGACAAAAAAAGATGAGATTGCTGTAACTAAAACACGCGTAACAAAATTAAAATCCAAGAAACGAGACAAACATGAGCCTAAGCTTGGGAGGAGAAGACCAGTTTCATCAAGATTTCAAACTACCATAAAAGACTCGAGGTATGTTTCAACACGTCATTTTCATAACACGATACCTAAGAATTTCTCCAAGATTAGTAAAAGGATGGAGAATAATTTGGATTTTGGCATATCAAATCATTCATTCAGCTTGATTTTGTGAATCCAAATTAACAATAAGTGGAAGAAAACAATTCCTAACTTGTTTCCATTGACATCAAAGATTAAGCATTGTTCTTGTGTTCAGGCATGGAAGAAAAATGTAAAGCAAAAGCTTGCTACTGTGAAGGATTACAAAAATCCAACACAGAAATTATGGAGAAATGATGAGCAAACTAAAGCAAAGCATGGCAAGATTTTTGTTAACAAGTGTTTGTGTGCATGAAGGTATATAAATACCATTTTAGAAGGTGTATATATCATTGAAGGGACTTGACGGCGAAGTTCCATCGTCAAATTGCGGACTCTATCAGTTAACATTCATGATGCATTTACTGTATATGTATCAAACAATTTTTGTCAGTCGGGATATGAAGTTGTTTACGGTTATTTGTCCATATTTAACTAATATGAATTGTATCATCATTACATGGTCAGAGTAAAGTCGGAATTTTTAAATAATGTTTTGAGTATGAATAAATAAAATGTGATTGAGAAGTTAATTAATACTTCTCCCTTGTAATATAGTAACAAACATAAAATAAATTTAAAACAGGAAAAATTTTAGGATACAAAATATATATAATTGATACGTTAAAACTTTAAGAGTGAATTGATTCGTAAATTCAATTTTAAGTCCGTGTTTGGTTTTTTTATATTTTGGAAAATTAATGGCTATTTTTGTCAATTTCCTAAAAAGAGAGATATCAAACAAAAACTAATTCATTTTATTATAAAGAAATCATCGTTTATTTATTTATTACAACTTTATAAGATATTCTTTATAAAATTTGTGATTGTTTTCTTTCTAATAAACTCCTCCAAAGGCCCAAACATGGGCTAAATACTAAAATAATTTAAATTGAATGAAATCTATTCATCCTTGTGTGTTAGTGCGTGTTTTTAAATTATGTTTTACTTAAATGATACTTAGCGCTGGCAGTGAATTCATTTTATTTAGATTTTTATATTTGGATAAATTTGTATATTAAAAGAATTCTAACTAAAACAGGCCAAAAATGTCCCAGATTTCGAGCTACATCGCATGTTGAATAAAAAGATTGTAAACAAAATTATGTAAGCATGAATTGCCAAATAATAGTAAGGTGTTAGTTACGCTTCAATGGCTAATAGTTGGGTGAGACCATATTTGACATTGACTGTCACACAGCTCCTGTCCTGTTCTTTATCGGATTCAAATAAGAATTCGGAGCGATAGAAATATGTTCGGATATTGACAGGTTTATTCAGATTGTATGGGTATATTCCATTTGGACTCCTTAGCCACATATTTTCAATGAATAACCACATAATGTATGTATTCCATTTCTATGGATCCTCTAATAAATCAATTAAAAGTTGCGTGGACCATTTTTATTTAACTGAAAGACCAAGGATCAAAATGACAACTTAAAATGTGCTGAAAACAACAAACTCCATTAACTCCCAAAATAAATGGGGTAATTTAACATTGTCTCCATTCGAATTTTTTTACGTAAATAATATTCTTTTTTAAAAAAATTACAAAAATAACATCTGTGCAACTTTATTTACTCAACTAGAACCAATCACTGTTCATGCTCAGAATTCGGTTCCCCAGGAACTGAATTCTGAGCTTCAATATTTTTTTCCCTTTTTTTTTGTGCTCAGAATTCGGTTCCCGGGGAACCGAATTCTAAGTTGTTTTAATTTATTTTTTTTTGCATTTGAGGCCCAGTTTGGGCGAATCTGGAAAGTGGAACGGGTCGTTCCGGAAACAGAACGGCCCGTTCTGCTTAAACACATAGAGTGTTATTTTTTAAATTGGAACGGGTGGAAAACGGGTCGTTCCAATTTCAAAAATAACACTCTATTTGTTTAAGCAGAATGGGCCGTTCTGCTTTCGGAACGGCCTATTCCACTTCCCAGAAACGCAAAAAAAATTAAAAACAACTCAGAATTCGGTTCCCCGGGAACCGAATTCTGAGCATGAACAGTGATTGATTCTAGTTGAGTAAATAATGTTGTACAGATGTTACTTTTGTAATTTTTTTTAAAAAAATATTATTTATGTAAAAAATTCTCTCCATTCTACATCTTTTGACTTATCCTGCCAATTGCATTGTAGTAAAACCAAAAGTAATACGTCCAATTTTGTGATGGCAAAACTTCAAACCTCATTGTGACAAACCGGCTGCTTAATAACTTGCACACAACAACGCTTATACGATTTCTAGAAGGGTACACAATAATCGGTCACCGGATATTCCACCGATAAATGGTTTCTTCACTCAGGCAGAAAGGCGGCATGCAGATATGTCCTTGCATTGTTTCTCTACAACTCTTATTGCCATAGAAGTCAGAAGATGAATACAAAGCTAAAAGCTACATCATGTTCACAAGGGGAAAAAAATGGGATACAAGGGAATTAATTTATACACACCAGCTCATGTGCTTCCTAACTCATTGAAGAGACGAAAAACAAGAAAATAACCCTAAATTATCATCTCTGCGTACCCTTGCCTACATGAAAACAACAGGCAATCAAATATCACATGGATACCAATCTTCAGTCTGATATTCTGATCTCCACTCCTAAAATGTCCTTCACCACCTCATATGTTACAAACGCAATTGCTATGGATGGGACCACCTGCAAGAGAGCAAGATTCAAGAGAGATCATTGCCATCTAAAACTAATTTCAGGTCAAAATTTTTTAAGAAAAAAAATCATATCACAATGGCTAAAGTAAATGAGAATTGAGATCATTTCTAAAACCAACCATCAGTGGAGGTGTTTAACAAATGGAACTATAAAAAGAACATCTTTAGTTGATTGTCTTACATGGAGGCTGCTATTCAGAGTGCACTGATTTGCGTGGTTTTTAACAAGTAAGAAAATTCCAACACGAAACCAAAACTTTTATGACCAAGGCATAAAATTAAGGATTTTTAAACAAATGTTATAACTTATGAGTTATGACTCAAGATTTTTATGACTCTTGAATTGACACAACGCCAGGCAAGTTTAATAATAATAAAAGCCTAAGATAGCATGTATTTATTGGTGGTTGATCAAGCATTTCATTAAACTAAGCTGGGGTAGTAAATAATTTAGGTTCAAACGGACCACAGACACTTGACTCTTACAATAACTCCCTGACAAGCAAACATTGTTCTTATCATGTAAAAGCTTGTTAAGTTCACAGCTATAATCAAAGTAACACCAACAGAGTATGATGTGGTAGAAAACTAATAATATCTTCTTCAAAATGGAGGAAAACCTTACTTTCTGAATATATGTTTTGCAGATAAGGTTTACCCACATTTTTTCAGAACAGAACATAATTCACGCGTATTAGATGAAGACCGACCTTTACAGAATTTGGCACCAGACCCTTGTATAATGCGCCAAAACCTTCGTATCTGACAGTTTTCCTAAAAGCATCAATCATGCCAGTGTATTCAAGTGGTACCTTCCCTCTCCCATCACCAGCTACAACAGAAGCAGCATGATTCCAACCCACCATCTGCATTCTTCGACGAATGACATCGAGAGGGTAAGCAACAGTTTGCCCAATAGTTCCAGCTGCGGCACCACAAGCTAGGCGAGTTGTCACACTCAACTCAGAATCTTGTACTAGACCCAATGGATTGGATTTAATTAACCAATCTTTCAAAGACTCGTACACAGCAAAGTTGAGACCCACATAAGGAATCTGAAAAAACAGGTAAAAATATAGGGTAAGAGAATATTAAGTGAAGTCAACAAGTCCAATGACAGCACCCAAAATTAAAAAGTAGAGCGAACTTTAGTTAGTTAAATTCAATTATGAAGCACACCAAATATTTTAGAAGAGTAAGTGTTCACATCTCTACAAACTTGTCAGGAGAGAGGGAAGAGGTAGTAAATTAGTACTGCTGGGATATTGGATACTTAGTTATAGGGAGTTAGTGATATAAATAAATAGGAGGAATGAAGGGAGGGGGGTTTATTTTGTCTGATACTATTTGTAAATTCAGCTTTTGCTCTTTGTGAAAGGAAAGATCATGTATGAAGGTGGAACCCCTAGGGGGGAGATTTCTCTCCTTTGTTCAGTTCATTTTCATTCAATGAATAAAATCTTTCTCTTTTTCCCCAATTTTTTCTGGATTTGTAACAAAAACTTGAGCACTTTACCCTGTCTTCTGTACCTTGATATTTTTCACCTAGAACCTACCATAACCAGGTAAAACCTTGTCAACAGGCCCCAGTAGTACTAATTATTAGAATTCACTACGAAGTTTGCCAAGAGAATTGAATAATAGCAAGTCTTTATGTAAAGAAATTACTTTTCCATGAAGCATTTAGAAATTCTAACACAGTAATACGTAGAAGCATAATTTTCAGAAAATATGGTTAAGTAAAAAATGTCTAACTGAATAAAACTCAACATGCCAGTTTAAGGTGCAGCCTTATGACCAATCCCACAGCCCCATGTTGATCCTATGTTCTGCAGAACTAAATGAATAGATGCTATCTATCAACAGATAATAACCAGGAAAAACTCGCTAAGACCTTAGTCACACATCCTTACCAATATACCCCACATCTATAATCAGCGCCAGAAAGCAATGATATTAAATTGTCCCCTAAGGATGGTAGACATTGACTAGCACTCAACAAAATTTGAAGTGTTAGTGCTTCAGAGGTTCTCCCCCTCCCCCAACTGCAGCCTGCAGGTCCTACATCGTTACTATCAAATGCAATATGAATTTCCCATAAAGCAATAGTAAAAGCATACTGTTAGAATTTTTTATAACAGTCTTTACAATTATGACCATAATCATCAACTTCCAAAAAGGAATTTCTAGAAACAATACTCACAACTCCAATGACTGAAGGAAGCCAACCCTTATATAAAGCACGTGGACCTTCTTCCCTGAGTACAGTTGACAGAGCATGAAACATTCCTCTGTATTGGTAAGGGGACTTCTCCGTCTGCAAATACGAGGAAAATCAATCTTAAATTAAGATAACAGAAAACATGGAGACACTTTATATGAATTTTCTTTCCATTTAATTTTATGCATTTGCAGCAAAACCAAAAGCAAGGATTTGAAGAAAGAAAATAAGGAAGAAAAAAAAAGCACCTGTACAGTTATCCTGCCTCGAACCATGTCCATTGGATAAGTTGCAGACATGGCAATTATTCCCGCACATGCTCCAGCACCAAGTCGTAAAAGAGGAGTCAGTTGAGCATCCTCTGCAGAAAGTACAAGAAGAAAAAATAAAACATTTAGATAAAAGGATTTTATTATTGAGAAATTTTATTTAGATTTAATTGTTACCATTTGATTGGGATTTTTAATATTTTTAGATATATTTTGCAAAAAATAAACTATTGAATTCAACCTAGTGTGTGTTTGAAATTTGGATTTGCTTATTTTGGGTTCAAAATAATTTATGATCGAAATCTTAATATAAGATATTATGAAAAAGGGAAAAAACTAAGATACAGTTCCTTACACGCTTGTGGTGTTGCTCTCCAATATAAAAACACAGAATGAACACTAATTTTTTTATCTCAACTATGAATAACTTTTAAAAGGAGGATGAAGTGGTTCAAAATTAATGCACATGTTATGATTTTATGGGAGAACAGCACCTAAAGAACTTCCTTCCAAAAAGGTGACTGCCCCAAAAAAAAAAATTATGCAAAATCCAAAGCATGCTACTGAACCAGCACTACTCCTCCCTCAACATGGACACACACCAGAAGGGAAAAATAGTAAACATGGACATACCGTTTCCAGTTTGCTTCTGATACAGATGTAGTATACCTCTGCCAGAAAAGTAACATTCAGTAAAAAGGAGGAGAAAGCGTTATATATGTAATACATAGAAATAAAATTTGGAACTTCTTTGCCACGGGAGTGGCCCTGCTTAAAGAAAACTGTTTTGAAAAACAAAATTAAAAAGGATTGCAGAATCCCATTATTACAAATTTATCCGCATAAAAGTGCACCAGAATGAAAACATAGCAAAAGAAAATCGAAAATAATAAAGCAATCACTACATCACGTATATCTAAAGGAAATCTTACTTGGAAGCTTGCTCATAACTGAAGAACTTGACTGCAGAATTAGGGACAATTCGAGCACAATTAGTACCATTCCCTTTGAACAGTCCACGGAAACCTTCGGATCTCCATATATATTTTAGACCTTGAATAGTTCCATTGTATTTTATGTTGTGTGGATTCTGAACCTGTAAATGGCGAAGGCACAATACATCACGCATGATAATGATACATCCCAAGCACAAACACTCCAACAGAAAATTAGTTTCTCAGATGCAATTCTTTTGCTTTCATTGCAAACAAGTAAAAGAATAAATGACAGCTAAATCCACACTTAGAGGTAAACAACTAAATAGATTAACCTGTAGTAAAATTTTCATCCGTTCCAGTGGAGCAACTGCCGTTCGTGATCTGCACAGATAAAAATAAAAAGTTCAAGTCAATTAAAAAAACAACATAATGCAAAATGGATGTTCGAATTATGAGCAAAAAAAAGTTTCCAGGAAAAACAGATTAAACAGTAACGCAATGCTAGTAAGGCACATAGAAATTACAAAAACAGAAGTGATGAGCTTTAAAGGCATATCTGAAAACACAAAATTCATTCCACCGACGGAAACAGAATTCAATACAAACCAGTGTTATACTGCTATGTGAATTCTAATAATTTGCCTCTCAAATAATTAACTATATTTTCTCATGAACAGAAACCTATTGATTTGATTGAAGAAACAATGAACACATACATGATACACTAACTAATATAAGTATGCAAAAGAAAGAAAAAATAAAGCATTGAGGAGATGGAACGGACAGTCCTCCGGCGACTCCACCGGCGACGAGGGACTTGCAGATGGTGGAAAAGGCATAGGTGGGAGCCTTGACACCTTCTCTGGCGAGCTTGGCTTCCTCGGCAAGATTGACGATCTTCGTCTCGGAAGCCATGAGAAGTGAAAAGAGAAAA